ACTTCTCTGGTCTATCCTCATTCAAACGGTATACTAATCTTGTTTAAATAATAACAACAACTTCACAAATTACTTAAATTAGTGCATTGACTCTACTCGGACTGATTTGCGAAATTTGTGTTTATAGCCCCTTTATGTGTGAATAGCACGTTTAACACCTACAGGTAAAAAATATTTATCTTATGCAATGTAAAAACCTTTTCCCAATCGTTTTTCAATGTGGATTTCTTGAATTTAAAGACGAAAATAATTATTTTGATCGTTTATTAATTATTACAAATTTTGTTCAAAATGGCCTCGGCAACGTATACACTCACGACATCTTCTTCTAATTTTCTCTTTTTATTACTACAAAGGCGTTTTCTACTCGTGGATTGGAAGAGATGGCCCTATACAGTGGCCTACACGTTCCCCAGACCTAACTCCGTTCGATTTTTACGTCTGGGGACAAGCTAAAGAACTGGTGTACGTAACGGATTCAAACAATAGAAAAACTACAACGAATAGAAAACGCCTTATTAGTAATAAAAAGAGAAATGTGGCTGCATACGACAACAGTCGAAATTAGAAGAAGATGTCTTGAGTGTATACGTTGCCGAGGCGGACATTTTGAACAAAATTTGTAATAATTAATAAACGATCAAAATAATTATTTTCGTCTTTAATTTCAAGAAATCCACATTGAAAAACGATTGGGAAAAGGTTTTTACATTGCATAAGATAAATATTTTTTACCTGTAGGTGTTAAACGTGCTATTCANCGATTTGGGTATTTTGGTGAAATTACTAAAAAAATTAATTTAAAAGTAGCCGCCTGGTATGGTACGTGTTATGGGGGCTGAAAATATAGGAAATGACCCATTCTATCCGCCAAATCATTTTGGCACACGATGCGCCAAACACCTGTATATCATAAATATCCGATATTTTGATATTTTATAATAAATATCGGATATTTTCGAACCCTGATTTTATGATAGGACCGGTTTTCATACGTTGATCTTAGTTATTTAATTTTTAGCGTTAAGAGTCGCATCTCAAACTAATTTGAAAATTATAAAAAATAGCTTTCCGCCCGCGGCTTCGCCCGCGTGGAATTTTGTCTGTCTCAGAAAAACTTTATCGCGCGCGTCCCTGTTTCAAAAACCGGGATAAAAACTATCCTATGTTCTTTCCCGGGACTCAAACTATCTCTATGCCAAATTTCATCAAAATCGGTTGCGAGGTTTAAGCGGGAAAGCGTAACAGACAGACAGACAGACAGACAGAGTTACTTTCGCATTTATAATATTAGTTGGGATAGTTGGGATTTATTTATTCATCACTAGCGAGCGACCCGCACCGGCTTTGCATGGGTGATAAGTATTACATAACCTTCCTCTTGAATCACTCTTTATCTATTTAAAAAAACCGCATCAAAATCCGTTGCGTGGTTTTAAAGATACATAGGGAAAGATAGACAGCCAAGCGACTTTGTTTTATAATATTGTGTAGTGAATATAAGAAATCGATGTTAATATTCATCAATTCTGACGCATTGCTTGCGTTTAGTAAAATTGACTAATTTACATCATGAAATAAACATTTTTGTTGGCGCCAAAAACCAAATATGGCGGCTAACGAGTGCATTGACCTTAATGTGTTGTGTGAATTCAAAAGGAACGAATTAAAGTAAAATTTAGCGCAAAATGTGCTTTTTTGTGTGCCAAAAACGTGTAAAATTCGTTTAGATTATTGCTGGAATTTAGAATATAACCATAAGCAAGAGAATTTGCCTAATAGGTACATTATGTAAAACATGTTTTTTCCTAACAAAATAGTCTGTCTCAGCCGAGAATCGAACTCACTACTTTCTGCTATCTGATCTGACAGTGCCCCTCTAGACAAGTTTCAAAACGTGGTTGTAGGTAATTTCGAAAACTTTTTTTTGTATGGACAAGGAGTCGCTATCCGGAAAGCGACAGATCTATCAGATATCAGAGATTTTCGATATTACAAAGATCGTTTCATCCACGAAGACGCGCCCCACCAATTTTTGGTCTCGGTCGCGCGGGGTGCGGGGAGTTTGATCCGAACAATCCGAGCGTCATTATTGTAGTGTGCGTGCATGGATAATTTATCGTGTACCGATAACACTCAAACATTAGCGGAAGAATGGTGGGGCGCGTCTTCGTGGATGAAACGATCTATGTTTTTGCCACTTGTTCAGGTACGCAATAGTACCGCAGCAAACCTTGCCATAGACAATTTATTCAGCATACCACTGCGGTGTGTAACTTATTTAAGGATTGACCTAGATCCTCGGAGACCATAGACTATACGGAATAGCACTTCAACCTTGACGCTGGTGTAATGGAGGTTATCAACCAGATGTATAATCTGTGTAATAATTTTACTTGGCGCGAACATTGCCTTTGTTAAATGTTTATATTTACTGGTATTATGTACAACAGTGCAAGTAAATACTGAGGCTTATGTTGTTTGTAATAGATGCTATATTTCAATAACTGTGCAGTCTTACATTAAACTCGATGCTTCCTGGTATGTTTTAGTTTTATTGCCTCAATTCACTTTATATTGCACCAGCAAGCCAGCAACACACATTAGAAAATAGAATAGACTATTAAAAAAAATCGAAATCACAACTTTTTAAAAAGACATTATTCTGATCATAAAAACTTAATCAATTTTAAATTACCTATCTGTAAATTAAGATTTTTGGTTGCATTGTAATTGAAAGAAGTACCTACCTAGTTTGATTGAGTTGACAAAATAGTGACGTCATACAAAATGTATGAGAGTGTCGTTTTGACAGATTTAAAAAGTACGTCAATTGATTGGTCACGTCTATTAAGAATTTTTGAACGAAAATTCAAATTTTAAAACTTTACTGGCCACTTACAAGTCTTGAGAAAAGAAGTAAAATTAGACAAAACAACATGTTTTTAACAAACTTGATAACGTTGTTCTTTCCATGTTATTGTTTGTGTTATCCAATTTGGACTATAAACACATAATCATACAAACTAGAGATGAAACGGATATCCGGTAACTATCCGGTAGGCCGGATATCCGGCCTAAATTTACTATCCGGCCGGATACCGGATAGTAACTCACTATCCGGCCGGATACCGGATATTAAAAAACTACGACAATTTCCTATTAATAAAATGAAATACATTAATCTTTGAGGTAACATCAATAAAATGGCTTATAATAATGACGGCTTTTATTTAAAGTCCAAAAAGTTACAAAAAGCCATATTAAGACCTTTAAAACACTAATTTCTTTTTCTGGACTATTCACTCTAATGACGAATACATAAATAGTAAATATCTGTTAAGTCGAAATATTGCCAGATAAAATAGGCGATCTTTTTTTCACTTATGGTCTGATGTCATGATGCAGTTCAGTCAGATGACGCAGCAAGTAGACTAATTTAAGGACATCATCCATTTTGATAAAAAATCAAAAGTGCCGGCCAAAAAATAAAAGTGCTGTATTCTGATAGAACACGTCCGCCTTAGCATTTGTTACTATGGCACCAAAGCTGTAGCACGACTTTGCATCGTAGTATTCGAGTTCTAAAAGTCTGTCTTTTTAATATTTACTAAAATGAAGTCGTGAGTGAATCTTGCCAAAACATGGCATTTTTATATGGCTTGGTATGGCTTTGGTGCCAAAGTGACAAATGCTAAGACAGACGTGTTTTGTCAAAATACAGCACTTTTTTTTTGTTGGCTGGCACTTTTGAGTTTGGACCAAAAATATATAAAACGTGGATGACTTTAAGATCTCAAATACTACGACGCACAGTAGTGCTACAGCCTTGGTGCAATAGTAACAAATGCTAAGGCGGACGTGTTATGTCAGAATACAACACTTTTTTTTGTTGGCCGGTACATTTGATTTTGGACCAAAAATCTATGGATCGTGAATGATGTCCTTTTCGCACACAATCTTTTATTCAATCACACACTCACGATGGCAACCGAAATCGCCCGAATTGATCTGCCCCCTAGACAAGTGGCAAAATCTGTCATTCTATTCGGACTGATTCGATTTTCGAAAGTTGACTAGTCTAGTCTACTAATAGACCTACTATCGCGTTCGAAGCACCTTAACTCGTCACTACATGCAACGAGACAATTAGCCAACTATCCGGCCGCCGGATATCCGGCTATCCGGCCTAGCAGCTGGCCGGATATCCGGTATCCGGTATCCGGCCAAACAACTATCCGTTTCATCTCTAATACAAACTATTTAACATACACTATGTATTATTGCGCACAGTGGTGCAATCGAAAAGGAAATGCTAAAATACTTTAAGCAAAAGTATGCCTTTGTTCTACATTATTTACTTAATCGCCTATTTCTGTCTACCAATGTATAGTATAGTTCTGATCATAAAAACTAAAACCGAAAACTAAAAAAGAACCTAATTAACGTATAAATTAATGACATTTGGTCAAAAGTGAAGTCTTTGTTAAAAACAACAATCTTGTTTCACTGAAATTATTAGTCGTTCCAAGATTTAAATTTAAATTATGTATTGACCGTCTGAAAAGCCAATACAATCGCTTTGTTAAGATTACAGATAATAAAACACTGTGTTAAAAAAAACCTAAATGGTTGTCTGTCTGTCTACCAAAAACTGTATTGGATAACCACAAAAGTTGTGTAGTCTACTAGTCCCTAAACGTATGCGTCAGAACTTTCGATTCGAACTACTACGAGTAGAAGTCAAATTAAGACGCATTTGGATCAGACAAAACCTATCTATTTATCGACTAATAATCGGCTTTCTTACCGACTGATAAGGATTTCAATCATCATCATGATTATCACAAGTGAACCGATTAAATATATTGCGCGAAAAACATTATTGTACTGAACTTATTTTCGTCGAGGGTCAAGGTCACGTGCGACAACAGAACATTAACACTTAATGGTAAATACACAAGGTTTAAAATGGTATAGCAAAGGCATGCAGCACTTACCTCTTGGGTCAGCTCATCCCCAGTATGGTGCCCTTCATCAGGCTCCGACTTGACGTCTTGCATCTCTTTCACCGACACATCCATATCACTCACACCACTCGAACTGGCCGAAGTGAAACTAGTGCTCGCTCTTTCTCTCTTCACATTCAACACCAGCTCATCCTCAAAAATGGGCGCCAATTCGTACGCTTCTGCATCCAAAGGAGTGTTTTCTAAGAGATACTGCTCTAAATTCTCTTGCTGTTGCTTAACGTCCAAGTATTCCAGATCGTTCCTCAGTTCTTTAACGTCATCGAAGATCTCCTCATAGTCCTGGAGATCCGCCATGTTCTGGTGGAAGACGGAATTGGGCTCTCCCATCTCGAATTTCTCGGCTTTCGCCGTGAAGTAAGGCACGAAATCGTCGATCGCATTGTCATTGTACAGATCCTCGTTGTTTTCCTTCTTGACGACGACGTCCATGAAATCGGACTCGGAGTCCTGGGGCTCCGTTTTGATCTGCATCTCGTTGGGGTTGACTAAGAACTCGTTGACGTCGAAAGAACGGGACGCGATCTCAGCGAAAATGTCAGATTCGGTGTGGTTGGATAGGAAGTCAGCTGAGAGAGTCACAACCGCGTCTGGCTGCTCATTTTCCTGCTGCTCCTCATCAGAGATCTTGACTTCTTGCGCTACGTTCTCGTCAGCGGACACCCCATCGCTCTCCTGGCTCTCGAGCGGCGCTGAGGCCAGCGAAGGCGCGACTGTGTCGGTAGCTACGTTATTCAATACATATGTATGAAGGATCGGACCCCGATTATTCCATATCCGTTCATTGTTTTCCAAAGAGTTCGCGTATCGCCCCAGGGAGTTCAGCTCTTCGAACAACTCCCTTTCGTAGTTGATTAGAATGTTGTCCAGCGATTTTGGGTGGACGAACCTCGGTCGGATCAGCGTTCTGGCTTCTTGCTCTAGAGACCAGTCCGACCCGTTGGATATGTTTAGGCCTGTGATCAGCTGCTGAGTTTCTCCCTCCAAATAGTCGCTGGGGTCCGCCTTGAGAAGACTCAGGACTAAAGCCAGCCGCAGCAACTCGTCCCCGTAAAGCTTCTTCAACGCGATCATTTTAAGTCTTATTTAAATCAGTCTGTTGTACTTAATTTATTATACGTTGAGCACTAAAATACTTGAGATCAATTGTGTACTTAATTTTACGAATTCTGCTAAGAGCGAGTCCTTGTTTGGTCTTTATTTCTAAATTTAACCTTGTCGTCGATCCTCCTCTTTCGCTTGACGGGTGGCATTTTGAAGGAACGTCACTTGGGTCCTGAATCACGACAGTTCACTATGGAAGACATTTCTGGCGCGTACATAGTCACTGTTTCACAAAATGTTAAAACTGAAAGTTTTTTGGCAGGTTGCCACATTCACGGGATATCTGTTTTGGGACAAAAGACGTTTAACCTTGAATGCTGCAGTAGTTGAAATTATAACAAGGTTTTGACGACCGTTAGCCTCTGGATCTAAAGCACGACAGTCTGATTTTCAGGTATTAATTCAACAGCAATTAATATTCCGACCTGTTTCTATTGTAGTAAGTTGAAATGGTAATTAATTGCTAGTGTCAACGAATGAATTGTTCTTTGACACAAAAACAATAAAGCTATTGGTGTAAAAAATACTTTCGACGAACGGTAATGGATTATAAACTTTATGTAACTAGCTAGAGATATTATTATGAAGGAAATAGTTTTAAAACAGTTTGTTCCATAGTTTGGCTGTTTGAACGCATCATCAAAAAATCGGCCAGAATTTTTCATTTAGGGCCTTTATGAATAGAAATTCTATTATTAATCCATTAAAGTGTTATTTACGTTGTTATCATCACCGTTATTTAAGTTGATTGCGACATAGATAATAAACAACACACGTTTGTTTTGAACACCTTTCCTTTGTTTTCAAAAAAATACGCGGTCTTTTTCGTTCGAAATTTAAATTCAATTCAAACTTTTACAACATTCCAAATTGGAAATCAAACGTTAGCGTTCCAAGATTAAAATCTTACGCCCGCAAAAAGTTTGAGTCGGACTCAAGTTCGCGTGCACAACGTCTTTGTTTGCGAGTGAGAGCGCGACGTGCGCTCGCATCGGTGTCTCGATTTGAACTGATTCGAATTTCGAACTGCGTCGTTGTAGACGCGTGCTCGATGCACGCGTGCGTTGGCCAGAGACTCATGAACTGTTGTTTTTTGTTTTCCCAAGATAGGGCTGAGAGATTCGTACAAACAAAACGGTATTTTGCACAAGTATGAGATTGAATATGAGCCAGACAATAATTCAAATAAACCATGCTCTTTGTCGGCATGATGACACCATATTTAGCTTGTTTTCGGGTTATTTACGGCGATGGCAGAAAGGGCTTCTTAAATAATCTGTTGTTTTTTTGACAAAAAGTTTTTCGAAAGGAAAGAAATTATGCAAATAAAAGTTAAGGTACTTTTGCCAGCCCAATTAACTAGTAGTTTTAGTTCAGAGCTAAAATTAATGTTCTTAGGTTTATTATTTTTAGAATCTTAGAAGGGAAATTTATAGGACAAGCTATATCTTTTGAACAGTGCAAAAATAACGTTGTGTGGTGGTTGTAAGGAAGGAATTATTCATACCAAAGGAAGGAATGGACGCCCTCTGCCCCATCTAGGGGTCATAGGACCTTAAGTCAAAGGAAGGAATGACAGTCATATCGATGTCATTTCTTGAGCTGATTCTTCTCAGCACTGGCCCATTTATTGTCCCGAAGCAGTAGTAGGGTGTAAATAATAATGGGACGTGTAAAAGCGCTTCAAAGCCTCTTTGCTAAATGGTTTTTATTACTGATAGTAGTAGATAGACATCGCTGAAGACCCTGACCGACCAATCTTTTCATTTGCGAATGAGACGTTCTTGGGTAGGTCAAAGTTAACCGGTCGAAAGTAACGAACTTGAGGGTCGAACCACAAAATAGGGGTCGAACTCTCTAAACGTTTTTCCTAATTCGTTATCTAATCTTTTTAGTTAGATCGTGTCATCCACGAAGACGCGCCCCACCAATTTTTAGTTTCGGGCAGCGCGGGGTGCGGGGAGTTTGATCCGAGCAATCCGAGCGGCATTATTGTAGTGTGCGTGTGCACTCATGGATGATTCAGCGTGTACCGATAACGCTCAAACATTAGCGGAAGAATTTGTGGGGCGCGTCTTCGTGGATGAAACGATGTAAAGCCTGGTCCGTGAGCATGTAGAATTTTGTCCAATGACCCCAAGCTACCCATCCTTACGTGCTCACGGACCAGGCTTTAGTAGGTAGGTAGCTACGCCCCTGGAATGAGACGTTCTTGTGTAGGTCAAATTAAACCGGTCGAAAATAAAACCTGAGGGTCGAACGCTCTAGACGTGTTAGCTAATTTGTTATCTTTATCGCGTTATTGATACGGTCTTTGTTATGAATGCGGGGTCATTAACTCGAGATAATTATGACGGATTTGAAATTGACATTGGAGATGATTGTCTAATTCTACACTAATTATAAAGTCGAAAGATCTGTACATGTTGTTTTGTATGGAATTGAGTCTGAAAATACTGGACCGATTTGGAAAATTCTTTCACCGTTAGAATCCTAAATAATTTCTGATAAGTTCTATAGTGGTGATCAATGATCATTCCATTGACCATATTACAACAAACGCAACGTTTTCAATTTATTTATAAATACATTCTTTCTTTTTATATTTTCCTCTTACGTGTACCTACTTTCTGAGGCCAGTTAAACAATGATTTTTTAAAACCCTACAAATATAATTTTTCTTTACAAACTTTCGTAACTGAAAAAGGGAGTTTTTACAAACTCCTATTGCTAAAGCCATACAAAATTCTTTTTTACGCAACTTTTTGTATGTTTATACCAAGCCACTGAAAAAAAGTATTGCGTTGCGTAGCTTGTACTTGGAACCCTTTTTTGGTAAACAGGCGGTTACGTAAATTTTCAAAAGACGAACATTCGTAAAGAAAATTTGATAAATCGTAACTAAAGTAGTTGTTACTGCTATTAGCTACAGATGATTTAAACAGCTTGTACTGAGGTGAAGAGACATAAATAAAATTACCTAAAATATACAAGTAGGTAACTTAATCTATACATTACTAAAACTTTCATAAATAAGAAAAAAATCACTAAAACATTGCCTCCAGCGGTAATCGAACCCTCATCCAACCGATTTCTGATTTGGTTCGACCACCAAACCATTCCATATTAGTATCTTTACTGCATTTCCAACGTTATCCCATTGAAATAAGACTCAAAATGTTGTTACTACTTCATCAGCCAGATGGTAGTACATATCACCATGTAAGGCCACTTGAGTCAGACCCATACGAGGTCTTACTTTTATGGTGCGAGCTAAGACTTATCAAGGTAAACTCTGTGGCTTCTTATGCCGTTGAGTTAAGGACTACTTTGCAATAAAATTATTGGCTGATGAACTGCAAAAAGTACTTTATGGGAATTTATTTTTCAATCGCACACTAGTTGTACACTCATTATGTTTAAATAATTTAAATTGAAATGTTTCTCAGGAAGTGAATTATTGTTAATTCTTATGAGAAATAAAGTTCTTAAACCGTACACTTTAATATAACGTGAACGATGCAACCTAAAATAGCACTTTAGAGCAATGAAAAATCCTTTAGTTGTCTTAAAACAAATAAAATCTGTGAGATTTTAGTGAAAAAAGACATTGTTTTGATTAATGTTTGAAATAAAAAGTATGTCAATTGATTGAAGGGTTAAATCCTTTTGGATGTCGTGTATCTTGTGCCCGACCAGGAACATAAAAACCCTCGCCATGTTGCGGAAAACTAATGGTACTAATTTCTTTTAATGGCAACAGTAACTGAAAACTTCATTGACATGTCACCTTGCATGTCAGTCTATTGCTGTCAAAGTGTAAACAAACTTTATTTTAAATGTACGCAACTGATTTTGTGAATTAAATTGCTAAAATCTTTTTATAGTCGTGAAAGAAAAGTGGTTCACAATGTGTTAAAATATTTGTCGAAGAGAAATACTAAGGGTTCGGACAATATTTTCATTGAATAATGTTTCCGACAAAGGTTGTCAAATTGACTGACATGTTTATCGTATAGTACAGTCCACTATGAAAATTTGCTGTGGTTTGTTTCAACTACCTATTCTAAAATTTTTTGTCACTTTCTGAGTGTTGAATTTTATGGAATTGGGAAAGAAGTACCTAGTTTGAAGCGTTCATGAGCAGACACTGCAGTTGAATATTCAAGTTCTGAATTTGATTATTGATGAATAATAAAATAAATCCTATTTGCTCGATTGGTGGTTTCATTTAATTTATTTAAACCAGGTTACCTATAATAATATGTTTTCGTTAATTTATGAAAATATCAAATTAACCCGTAATCCTGAATCCTGGTACATAAAGTTGGCCTATTAATTTAACACAGGTACGACTGTACTCAGTGTTGCACTATCAAATGCAATTGACGCGCCTCTATGCCAGGGTTTTTATGTTCCTGGTCAGGCTATATAAGTAAAAATGCCAGTGTAATATTTGCTGTAGACTTCTTAAATTAAAAGAAAATGAGGACATCTTTAGTGAGTGATTTAAGTTGTCGCTTAAAATAAACAAAACCAAAAAATTAAGAAAACAGCCCTTTAAAAATACTGCATTCTTGAATTCCCGCCATAAAAAATATTGTTAATGTATTTTTAATTTTTTATAGTACATGACATCGATAATGATGCAGCCGACAAAGATGCAGTCCACCAAAATATTTTTTTCAGTTCTAAATATCAGAAAGGCAAAGCACACAGCTTAAGGTGTGCGCAAAAGAAAATGTTGAATGTTGAAAATTTCGAAAAGTTGTATTGGTTGTATGTAGGTGCCATGTACAGTTTATTGANGCACCAAATACTTCAGATGTGAATCCAGTTACTCAGACTCCAAATACCAGGCCGAAGAGACAGAGGAGACCACCACAAAAGTATGGTTTCACAAATCTATGCACTAGCAGTACAGCAGATATGGAGGAGATAGATTTTGTGGAAGCCATAAATGGTCCAGAAGGTAAACAATGGCAAGGAGCAGTGGAGGAGGAGCTGCGGTCATTTGAGGAGAATGATGCGTGGGAGCTGGCGGAGCTACCAGATGGTGCTACATTGGTGAAATGTAAGTGGGTGCTGAAAAAGAAAGTGGACAGTAACAATAACGTACGTCATCGCGCAAGGTTAGTGGCTAAAGGTTTTACTCAGCGGAGTGGCATTGACTATGAGGACACCTTTTCACCTGTTGTGCGACATTCTACATTGCGTTTATTGTTGGCAATGAGTGTTCAAATTGGAATGGACATTACTCACTTAGATGTAACAACCGCTTTT